ATAGGTCGCTTTCGAAAACCATTTTCACTGTGTCTTCGTGCGACATTCTTACGACGTGCCCAGTAGTCAAATTTTTGCAATGTGGACGATGTATGGTTCTCCCAGCAGCTAGGGCGATTCGTGGTTAATTCGCCTCCTCCACGTTCCGTAATCCATCTGCACTCCACCGTAGATGGTACGCAACACCTTCCGTTCGAAAACACTACACTAGCATAGTCCAGGTCTCGTGGCCGTAGAGGACCACCGGTCTAATCAGCGTCTTGTAGACAGTCAACTGCGTGCGGTGGCGAATTTTATTCGGCCGGAGCGTCCTCCGGAGTCCAAAGTAGGCACGGTTCCCTGCCATAATGCGTCTTTGAATTTCTGTGCTGGTATCATTTTCTGCGATCACCACGAACTCATCGACCTCCTCGATTTCGTCACCGTCAATCTGAACTCGGGGTGGGAGGCTAACATTGTCTTCCCTAGAACCTCTTCCTCTCATCTATTTCGTCTTCGATGCGTTAATGGCAAGTCCAATCCGCCTAGCTTCAGCCTTCAGTCTGATGTACGTTTTCGCCATCGTCTCAAAGTTTCGTGCCATGATTTCGATGTAATCGGCGAAGCCAAGAAGCATCTGAAGATCGTTTAATTTGTTAAATAGGTACGTAGCGGGTACATAACATTATAATTTTTAATTAATGAGTTTGACCTTTCCGGAACATATTTAGACCATGTCGTAGGCATATATTTATTAACAAGGCATAGTCATGTTAAAGTTGCATTCTGGGGCTTCAAGAATATAAATATCAAAAGATTGGCATTGACCTCTGTCTGTTGATTCTTCGAAATAGTTATGCGTTGTCAACAAAGATTAATCAGTACACATCTAGGGATTTCGAACTGGGGACATAGGGCCATTAACGATGTATGTCCCTTTCGACTGTTCACTGAATGCGATAGGCTTGTTCAGTCTTGTAAGCGGTCACGGTAGTCGACACATTTTTCTGTGATAATTGACTGCCTTTGCCTCCGACACTTGCAAAACAAGCTTTCATAGTACAGTACCAAACTAAAATGTCATATGACAGGCTCTGTCATACGACACTGTCGCCGAAGACCGTCACGAATGTATGTATTTTTGTTTTGATCATAATAAGAGCTGCTGATTGTGTGCTTGTGTGAATTCTGAAAATAGCAAGCAATGATGTCCTAGTAATAATATTTCTGATCAGAAATGGTTTGATTTACACCAAATTGAGGAATTACAACGAAATCACACATGTCATATGATAGCTATTTGATAATTTTCTTTTAGCTCGAATGTTATTTCACCGCTCGTGTTGTGTGAGAGAGACGACGGTAGAGCATTAGTGTTCGAATACAAACAGACTGTCGCGCACGACAACGAAGCGAGTGTAGTAAAAAACGTCGACTGTTTCAACCCCTGGGCTTGTTATTTGTCTTCCTTTCGGATTCTATATTTTGGAGTGAAAATAATTAGGAGAACACTATGAGCCTAATTTAACATCATATCATGCTTGCAAAAGCATGACAAAATAACATTAATTAGACCGTTACATTGGTAAAGCTTATGTTCTTCCAGTGAAAGACGATTTATTATTGAAAATTTATTTAAAACACTCCGAACACGATGCTTCCGGTGAATTGTGTAACGGCTAAGTGTCAATGTTTGAAAAACCATTGCTCAGGAATGTATCGATCAATTTTGAAGTTTCACCAATAAACGACTGAGCTATGATTTTTCAAACATTGCATGTTTGCTGCTACAAATTTTACCGGAGACATCGTGTTTAGAGTGTTAACACGAAACGCGATACAAAAAGGTCAACCAACTTTTTAGCTTCACAGACGAATTTTGATGCATAGGGGGAAATGCATGTAATGTCGGCCTAAATGTACCTAATGTGGGCCCATACATAAATTCAGTAATCGATTAAATTTTCAATAGCGACCAAAAATATCCATAAGTACCGTCAAAATGACGCGTTCATCTAGATAAAATTGATAAATAGCAGATTTTTAGTGATGGGCCCAATCTTAGATCCATAGGCCAACATTAGAGCCATTTCCTCTATGACGGAGAAAATTCTTCTTTTCGTGGCGTAGCGAATGTAAAGGTTCAGTGCTAATAAAACATTAGCGGTTGATTATTGGGAACTATTTCGTAAGATACTTGTCTGAGAGCGGGAATAGTACAAAAGGGAGTCAAGTTTGGACCGGCGTCAAATATGGTACCTTTACGGTAGTATAGTAAAGTGGGACAAGAGTACGCAGGCAGCAAAAGTACGCACATACAGGTAAACGACATGATGGACCAATGAGTGTGAATAGGATTGAAACCTCTACTGGATACAAGCTTACTAGAAAAATATTGTGTATTTTGAATAATCCAAACTAAAAATATTACCTAAATATACCTCGGACTGGGAATCGAACTCAGCTGCTTCCCGTATGGTCTTTCTTTATAGCTGCGTCTTTACCGACTGTACTAAGGGAGGCCCTATATAATTAGGTTAATTTAGCTCTTCCAAACAATGGATCGTATGAATACGGAGTGTAAAGAAACTCTCCCGTGCTTTTCTTATGGGGAAAGTAAAGTGAACTCTTTTCTTCATACGGACAAATATATCTAATACATGAACAACAGTGATGATTTTTACTCTTTTCTTCGTAAGTTCGTTCCCCACGTTCCCCATGAAGCGTACCTAACAGCTACTGATGATGTATCTACTCCAGTTTCTGAGATTTTTACTCGTTTGACGATCATACACAAAGACTTCTTACAATGTGCTGTGCGCGGGAGCACGATACGATCGTATGAAAGCAAAAAATGCAGTCAACCTCCTTCCCAAACTAGCAAATGTCGACCAGTCGGTATGCTCCGATTCCCGAGACGTTAATGTGGAACACTGAGAGATAGAGAGAGAGAGAGAGCAATGCACCTCCAACCCGGGCGAACGTTATACCAGTAATCAAGTAATTGATGCCCTTAATACCTTCTAATATCGGAGACGGCGGATGCTGCACTGCAACGATCTCGAAGATACAGAAGGTGACGCTGATTTCTCCGCATCAGGGATGCACATATTGAGCTTGACGAGATGCATCATGGTAGTAGAAACTGGCGGACTGGTCCGGTGATGGATGGACGGACATAAATGCAGAAATCCGGTTGTCTGCAACCGGGCGGGCATATGACTATAATTGAGATGAAAGTCACTTTATCGTACACACACACACACATACACACAAATTCCAGATTATTGATAACAGTAGTGCTATCTAATTTATGAGACAGTGAGTAATTCAATATGGGCGAAAGCATGTCATCATCATCCCTTCGCTCCGTTTGATGGTGTCATGAAAATGAACTGTGAAGAAAGCTGTGATCAGATTGTACTTTTATCATTATTGCAACATTATTTGTTCACCTGTTGAGTTGTTGGGAGGGCGAGCTTTGAAATTTTAATTAATTTGTAATAATGTGGAATGTGCAACACAAATAAAACTTTAATTTTCCGCTGACTTATTTTAAGGTAGGCTTCCACACCGAAAACAGTTTTCATGTAGCTTCCATTGGAAACGCACATGATTTTCATCAATAATCAAAATTAATGGAATTCATCTGAATTTCACATAACATTTATGCGATCACATTAATTTTATATGATTTTTCATATGAATTTCATGGACCTCATAATATTCATGTGATTTTGTGGTGTGATTTTGCTGCTATGTGATCATAGGAAAGCTATGTGAAAATCACATGGATTTCATCCATTAGATATGTGATAAATTTTTTGAGTGCAGAATGAATAAATCCACTTAAGGGAACATGCATAAATCACGTAGCATTTTAGGGTGAAGGGGAGGAGGTTCAGAAGTTGTGAGTAACCATGTATTAGGTATAGTCACTACGAGGAGGGAAGGGTATCTAAAATTTGTTACGTCATTTATGGTTAGTACCATCATCTACGTCAACGATAAACATAAACATTGCACTTCGTTCCTTGAATGCGCATGCTGAATGATATACGGATCCTTATTTGACAGCTGGCCCAAATAAGTAATCGATATGGGATGTCATTTTTTATATAGATTTTAAACATACCACGTCATTAGAACCCTAATATGCTGTATCGTTTGAAGACCCAACTATATGTACATTGGAATGAACGTAAATTTGAACTTTAGACCTAGCGTTGTAAACAAAGTAAACCAAAATGTACACAAGAATCAAATGTAAACTTGATGTTTCATAATGAGCCATGTAAATCAGCTAACATTGAGGCTACATTGTGTTAACTTATAGAAAGATGTATCATTAATGATTTTGAGTGTATAATTTTAAACAACGTTTTTTATTCGCTTTAAGCGTCAGGTCTGAACTGTTCCACTTCGATGATCGGTGGTGGTGGTGGTGGGTGGCAATCAATATTAATTGTTTTCGAGAAAACGAAACCCACTATATGCGGTCTGAGCATTGCAAATTTTCAATTTTCCATTTTCCCTTTTATGCAATTGATATAACCGAGCTGCCGCCACCACCAAAGTCGTTTCTAAAAATCACTGTAACGTGAAGCAACGGACGCGAGGGTTATGGTTATTGCACGAAAGTTTCTGTACCTACCTACCTAACTCAAGTCGTAATATAGTCCACCAGGTAAATGAAACAATTTCGACTGCTACTGCTGCCGTTTTTCATAATCAATTGGTTCGGTTGAAAACCGTCGTCATCGGTGGTCCCCCCCGTAAGCAAGCAGCACCCAAACTGTCGTTTCTCAACTTCAATTACTGACTGTTAAGCAATACCTGTGTACATTTTACTTTTCACTTCAAGAGACAAAATTAGCAACCGATCATCCGTGAAAATGAGGTTATGCTTTATCGTTTTCCTGTTTTGCAATGAATCGACATGTTTTCCCCAATAAACACAACAATTATGCAACACTTCCGCTAACCGAAACCATTTCTCTTCTACCATCCCCTGCTTGTAGGTCTGGCCCTAAGCACATCGTCACTGACTGCACGGAGGGACTCATTCGATCGCAACACATCGGCCTTCAGTCCATCCTTGGACTACACATCGGCGTCGACGAATGCCGTGGTGAACAATGCGGCCGCAGCAGCTGCAGCCGCTGCCCGGAAGTGGCCCGTTGGAGCGGGCAGCTACGGAGGACTTAGCGCGGTTACTGCTTCAGGTAGTCCACTCGGTGCCTCAATCACTCCTCCGCCCGTTTCGGGACTGGGAGCTCTGGTCACAAGTCGTGCGCCAGGCGCCGAAACCAAGTACCGTCAGGTCAATCAGCTAGCTCCGGGTATTTCGGCCAATGCTATGTTCGGATCGAGTAATTCACTCTTTTCCAAACTATCCGGTTCGGTAGTAAGACCCACAACCGCAGCGGCAGCTGCCGTAGCAGCCGTTGCCGGAGCTGCTCCTGGAATGGATCGCCCACCCGGACGCTCACGACTATTGGAAGACTTCCGGAATCAACGCTATCCGAATCTTCAGTTGCGTGATCTCACCAATCATATCGTGGAATTCTCACAGGATCAGCATGGCTCGCGATTCATTCAACAGAAACTGGAACGAGCGACTACGGCTGAGAAACAATTGGTGTTCAACGAGATCCTCGGAGCGGCGTACAGTTTAATGACTGATGTGTTCGGCAACTACGTCATTCAAAAATTCTTCGAATTTGGCTCTCCGGAACAGAAGCAAGCCCTTGCGCAGCAAGTCAAAGGACACGTACTCCCACTGGCACTGCAGATGTACGGTTGCAGAGTCATCCAGAAGGCCTTGGAAAGCATTCCAGCCGAACAACAGCAGGAAATCGTTCGGGAACTGGACGGTCACGTACTGAAGTGCGTCAAGGATCAAAACGGAAACCACGTGGTGCAAAAGTGTATCGAGTGCGTCGAACCGGTTGCACTGCAGTTCATCATCGATGCTTTCCGCAATCAGGTCTACTCGTTGAGCACACATCCGTACGGGTGCCGGGTCATCCAGCGGATACTTGAGCACTGCACCCAGGAACAAACGGCGCCAATTCTAGCCGAGTTGCATGCCACTACGGAGCAGTTGATCCAAGATCAGTACGGAAACTACGTTATCCAGCATGTATTGGGTAAGTGATCCGAACATCAATCCCATTCATTAAACAAAGGAAAGTAGGTAATGGTTTTACGTCCTATTTTTTTCGCCTCGTTCACAGAGCATGGAAAGCCGGAGGACAAATCGGTGCTGATCGCCGCTGTGCGGGGAAAGGTACTGATTCTGTCACAGCACAAGTTCGCTTCCAACGTGGTGGAGAAGTGCGTTACACATGCAACAAGAGCTGAGCGGGCACTGCTGATCGAGGAAGTGTGCTCCTTCAATGATGCGTAAGTATTCTTTGGATCGAACCGGAACCATCTTTGTATGAATTGCTGGCTTTATGTGTTCTTAGTAGAACTTATGCCACAGTGTTTCTTTAACATGTCTACGCGAACGGTGGGCGCATAACTGTACAATGTTCGCCAGGAGCCATAGTAGTTAAATAAGAGCTTTCTGAGTATACCGCAGAACTCGCGGAACGACTGATTTATCCATTCCTATCTGGAGCCCTTTATTTCCCTGAAAATGTCCGAAACTGTTCTGAAAATCCGCGAGTCTTTCTGAGGTGCCTCTGCCTTGTCCGTGGTTCAATAAATCTTGCTAGGGTTACATGAAATTCGCTGAACTTGTCTAGCTTATCCTAAGCATACTCAGCTTTTTTGAAAATACACTCCAGTTTCCTACAACTCAGACGTCATTTCGATTGAATGAGCCGTGTTCGTGCTATGATTTATTGAAAAATATTGAAAACGTAATTTTTTTTATTTAGGCGGGTCAAAATGGTCGAATTCGAGCACAATCCAAGTAACCATAAAGCAAAAAGTGCAATTTAATGCTGATTTAAAGTTGATACATACATTTGAAGCCGTAGGGGAAGGAGAGGCATAATGAACAGTGAGCATCCCGCACTTTGGCTCTGGATCAGCTGCATGAAACAAATCAACTGGTAGTAGGTTCAACATCATTATGATTTTGATCCTACCACCAAACAATTTGTTCCGAACGGCCGGAAATCCAAGCTGGTGCTCACTATGCCCCACCTGTTCACTATGCCGCTCTTACCCCTATATATGCCTTATATTGCAAAAAGGAGGGTCTTTATCGGGATATTAATGGGATTGGTGGTTACGTGGAAAACTAGATAGAGCTGGCATTAGGGCGTAACAGCTTTGGTAAACAATGACTTTTATCGACAATTTCTAGGAACTCACGGCACGCCCACGCAAACCTACATAACCGTCGGGTAGGAGAAGTCTTCCTCTACCCGATGGTGCTGTTGATTTGCGTTGGCGAGCCTTAACTTTCTAGATATCATCTAATGAAGTCATTTTTTACTTAAGCTGTTACGCCCTAATTCCAGTTCTATCTAGAATTATGCGAAATTTCATGGAATTCTAGAGGTACAATCTTAAATTTGTTTATTTTTTCCGTTATTTGGCCTGGAACTACTCTTCTGGGCTGAAGATTCTTGGACTCCTTCGTTTTCAACTTCCGGGGTTTCCTAAACTACTCTGAAATTTCCTGAGTTACTAAGTATATATTCGCAAAATTCCCTGAGAAACTTGAAATTTTCTAAATTTCTTCAAAGGTTTCCCTGAAAGCTTTTATAATCCTTTCCCAACAAGCATTTTAACTGATTATATACTAAAAACGCGTCCTTTTTCACTACGCCTTATTCTATCCCCATTGCTATTATAAATCTGCCCTCTTCACTAACAAACTCCTGTGACACTTATAAGATGGGAGGTCGTAGAGTTCTCTGCATCTCTCTTAAGTAAGTTTCCAACTAACACTCCTTCCCATCCGCAGCAGTTGAAAGGACGTGGCCAGGACAGTTCTCGATAATTGGAGATAGTGCTACTTCCATCTAAGAGATCAAGATCAATCCCAAATCTCGGTCAATAAGGTAACGGGCGGAGGTGACAATACTCTCAAACAATTGCCTAGGACTTGTACCACATACGAATTTGTGCAACTTGCTTAATGTGAATGCGGATGCGAAAAAATAAGCCTCTTTTCAGACGAACAGGCTTATTTTTGGTTGCTACTATTCATCTTACAATGTTTGTTGGGTTGGGTTCCGCTCAGTTTTTCGTAGACTTTTCAGAAGTGGCTCTAAAGGTCCTCTTAGAATTCCAAGAAATTCACACAAGAAAAGTTGAGTGGCATTGTGAGTTTGTGCGAGCTTTTCAACCTCTGACTGGCCTTATCCAGCTTTCCACGTTCGGTAATGGCCTCCTGCATGGTTCTTAACATGCAACCTTCACTGTAGTTTTTGACGCACTGGAGACATATCTTGATCGAATAAGTAGATATCGTTTCATTTTCCGCTGTTCGTGGGAGAGGGGAAAGGGAGGAGTGAAAATCCGAACCACTAATTAGTGTATGTAACTAATGTGAAGTATGCATTTGGCGACCATGCATGCCACCATTGCCGTTTTGAATTTTTCTGAAGTACCCTAAATTTCTTTGAAATTCTTCTGGATTTCTTTGAAATTCTCCTTAACTTCTCTGAGGATACTTTAGTCTTCATGTGGTTCTCTAAACTACTCTAATGTTCCTCGAATTTAACTCTGAAGTTAACTGAAGTTTTCTTATGTTCTTCTGGGCTTATCTTAAGATTTCATTGAATTTTTTGCAGTTCTCCTTAACCTCTCCCTGAACTTTGAAGCTCATTGAATTTCTCTAAAGTATGCTGAGCAGCTTTGAAAGTTTCCCTGGACTTCCCTCATGATCCTCTGCATTTATCTGAGGACAATGACTTGAGTTTTTCTGATGCTCCCTCGAACTTCATTAAAGGTTACTGAACTTCTCTGCGATGCGTATACTTGTCTGCGCTCCACGCCAACCGGATCAGTAGCGAACACCAACTTTGCAGGGTTGTTGTCCGGCATTCTTGCAACATGCCCTGCCCACCGCATCCTTCCGGCTTTGGCCACCTTGTGGATGCTGGGTTCGTCGTAGAGTGCAGCGAGCTCGTGATTCATTCTTCGCTCACCGTTCTCCTGCACACCGCCGAAGATCGTCCTTAGCACACGTCGCTCGAAAACTCCGAGTGCTTGCAAGGTCCTCGTCGAGCATAGTCCATTTCTCGTGTCCATAGAGGATCACCGGTCTTATTAGCGTTCTGTACATGGTACATTTGGTGCGGGGGTGAATCTTTTTTGACCGTAGTTTCTTCTGAAGCCCGTAGTAGGCACGACTTCCACTGATGATGCGCCTTCGTATTTCACGACTCACATTGTTGTCAGCCGTCAGTAAGGATCCAAGGTAAACGAATTCCTCCACTACCTCGAAAGTATTCCCGTCTATCGTCACATTACTTCCTAGACTAATCCTGTCATGTTCGGTTCCGCCTACTAGCATGTACTATTTTTCTGACGCTCTCGCCACCAGTCCGACCTTTGCTGCTTCGTGTTCCAGGCGGGTGATTGGTTCTGCCACAGTTCCAAATGTTCTTGCGATAATGTCCATGTCGTCCGCAAAGCACACAAATTGACCGGATTTCGTCGCATTACACCTTCTAGAGCGATGTTGAAGAGTAGGCATGAGAGTCCGTCACCTTGTCGCAGTCCCCGGCGAGATTCGAATGAACCTGATAGTTCACCCGAAACCCTTACGCAGTTTTGCACACCGTCCATCGTTGCTTTAATCAGTCTGATCAGCTTCCCAGGAAAGCCGTTCTCGTCCATGATTTTCCATAGCTCAGTGCGGTCGATACTGTCGTATGCCGCCTTAAAGTCGATGAACAAATGATGCGTTGGGACCTGGTATTCACGGCATTTCTGGAAGATTTGCCGTACGGTGAAGATCTGGTCCGTTGTCGATCGGCCGCCCATGAAGCCGGCTTGATAACAGCCCACGAATTCGGTCATTTTAGGTGATAGACGACGGAAGATGATCTGGGATAGCACTTTGTAGGCGGCATTCAAAATGGTGATCGCTCTGAAGTTCTCACATTCCAAATGGTCGCCTTTCTTGTGAATGAGGCAGATTACCCCCTCCTTCCACTCCTCCGGTAGCTGGTCTGTTTCCCAGATCCTGACTATCATCCGGTGCAGGCAGGTGGCCAACTTTTCTGGGCCCATCTTGATGAGTTCGGCTGCGATACCATCCTTACCAGCTGCTTTGTTGTTTTTGAGCTGCTGAATGGCTTCCTTAACTTCCCTCAGCGTGGGAGTTGGGCCAGTCCCGTCCTCTGCTGCACTGACGTAGTCGTTTCCTCCATTGCGCTGGTCTCCCGTGCCTACGTTCTCCTCGCCATTCAGGTGCGCATCGAAGTGCTGCTTCCACCTTTCAATCACCTCACGTCCGTCCGTCAAGAGGCTCCCGTCCCGTCCTTTCCAATCGCAAGTCCTATTTCATCGCTGGGGTCGTTGCCGTTGGTCTCGGTTCGTATTCCTCTGTTGCTGATTTTCCGTTGCAAAGCTTTTTTTACGGCTGGCTCGCAGGGCCTGACACCAACCCCCGAACTTGCCGGAGGACCAGGGTGCACAGTTGTGCTTAGAGTCCTTCACTGGCACTCGGACGTAGATCAGCCGCCCCTAACATGGGGAACAGACGCTGTTGTGAGCCGCTCCTCCTGGAGAACAGACGCTCAGGCTTGCCAAAGCAACCCCCCCCCTCCCCTTCCCTGTCAGCCTATGACCAAAGTTCCCACCGGGGTTGGTTACCCGATCTTCCCGGGGTTGCTCACAGTTCCCGACCGGTACCACGGGGAGGTAGAGATCGGAGTTGTTGGGAAGAGGCTAGTGATTTCAATGGGATCTGTATTGCGCATTACCCAGCATTTACCGACCAGTGGTGTATAAGATCAAAGTGAAAGACTTCCATGCTGGGTGGCTGCTTGCTTTTGTTTTACGGGCCCTGGTAAAGCTCTTGTAGACTTTCTTGACTTCTTTGTTGAGGCTCCGCCATCGTGAACCCCTGCGTCTGCCTCTGCTATGATACGATTATGCCGGGGTTAAATTCAGCGCTTGCATGCACATATCGTTCCCACCCCTTCGTAGTGTGTGACCGCCCACCCTCACCCGCTTTCGGATTTCTGTTGATATCGGCTTCTGATGACATCGATGATTGAACTCGGCATTCGAGAGTCAGTTGCGAGGTCACCAGGTACGAATTATATACCGCAGGCATCGATTAATGATTTGTTCTCCAGATATTTCATAAGCTTTCAAAGGTAGCCCTAGCGTTGATTCATGCAATACAAAATCTTCCTTACATCTTAGATAGTTTTTTCTCCTTTGAGTTTCTGAGCTACATGGAAGTTAGCTAAACTTCTCCGAGGTACCCTGAACTCATCTAAATTTTTCTGGGCAACGATACAATTTCACTGTATTTACTTGGAATTGTACTGAAGTTCTCTGAGGTTCCCTGAACTACTCTTAAGTTTCTTGAGCTTCTCTGAAGTTCAGTTAACTTCTTCCGAAGTGCTACGAATAACACTGAACTTCTCTCCTCAGTTCATCTGGACTTCTTTGGTTTGTTCCTTGGATTGCCATGAAATTATGCCAAGCAAGGTTCGTATTCCTGTGATGATTCATTGGCTATCCTTGAGCTGATCCTTCGGAACACCCGGATCATCCGTAAAAGTGTTAGTTAATTAATTAAACTGACCGTAGAGTTCCGTGTTTTTTAACCACTTATGAACGACTTCTGACCGGAATATGTACCCTAGGGATCACGAGAAGGTGCTTTGGAACATTCGTAAAATTGATCCTACACAGTAACCGCAAAATACCCAATAACTACTATAAAAGAGTCAATATTTACTACAAAGTAAGCATTTTCAAGGAAAACTGGGATTAGCCATTAAATGAGTAAAATTTTGAAAATGAGTAGTAAGTATTCATTTGTGATTAACATTGATGGGTCCAAATTTTACTCATTAAATGGGTAGTCCCAGTTTCCCTCGAAAATGTGTAGTTTACAGTCAATATTGAGTCTTTTATAGTAATTATTGGGTATTTTGCAGTTACCGTGTGGAGTTTCCCAGGTTTTTTTTTCAAAATCCCTTAAGAACAACTTAGGTATCACAATTAATTTAGAGTCATTACTGCAATATGAACCCTGGAGGCCACGGGATGGTCCTCCGGAACATTCGTAAAGGTGGTAACTGTATGAACTGATACTGGAGGTTCTCGTTTTTTGTTTTTCAAAACTACATATGACGATCTTATCAGAATGATTTCGGAATTATGACCGTGAACCCTGGGGACTTCGGAAGTGAGCTCCGAGAGTTTTGATATTCCTTATGAATGCCTTATCATCCGTAAAAGTGATCCATTGGGGACGGCCCTAGTGTAGTGGTTAACATCCATGCCTACTCCCTGGGCAAGTCACGAATGACCTAAGAGTGTTTAAGTGTCTCCAATAAAATAAACGGTGGTCAATTCTTGAAAATGATCTGGGATTTGTTCGAATCCCCTAATAGACGTATTATTAAAATTAATTGTGGAGCTGGACGATGGAGTGGTATAACAACCGGAGTCTAGGAGGGAATAAATATCATTTTCTTTATCCTACCGATTCGATTGTGTTGGTACGAATTCTACTCCAACAGTTTCAGTGAAATTGACGCGGCCTTCTTATCAAACCATTCTGAAGGAAGCGATTGGGAATTGCGTCATTCGATTTATTGGATCGTTACGTTGGAAAGAGATTCTTAAATTCCCGTGAGGTTCGCGTAAGTGTCTCCGCCCCTCCGTTTTTGGCCCTTCATACAGCAATATTGTGAATTCAGATAGGTAGCTCAAATTGATCTTGCTATTAAGTGGAGCTGCATACAAGACAAGATCTTCGAAGGGATAGTGGCTACCTTACATACATACATACATACATTAGGGGCTGTTCATTAACTACGTAGACAGTTTTTTACGATTCTGGAGCCCCCCTCCGCCTGCATAGACAATCGTACATACACAATTTTAAAAATTTGTATGGGCCGTGGATAATTGCCATCCAGTTATTTTATTTTCATGCAGCTCAAAACTATCTATATACAAACCAAAACTAGTGGCAGATAAAAGAACCATTTTTGGCTCCATTTTTCCATTGGTTGGTACAGAAAATTCTCAACTAATAACTGTGGAAGTGTGCTTCAAAGAACTGGCAAAGGGCAGAGAAATAAATAAATCAAAGTTAACATCGTAATTGAACGCCAATTGAATGTTATTTAAGCTATATATGAACGCACTAGATATAGTTCCGTCAATATAATGCCATCTCTTATTCAACCCCCCCTTCTCCACACAGCGGTCTCCACGTGATGATGAAGGACCAGTACGCCAACTATGTGGTCCAGAAGATGATTGACGTGTCGGAGCCCACGCAACGGAAGGTGCTATTGCACAAGATTCGTCCGCACATGAACTCGCTGAAGAAGTACACCTACGGCAAGCACATCATTGCAAAGTTGGACAAGTTCTCGCTGAAAACTCCCAACTCCATCGGCAGCGGGGGACCCGGAGGAGCACCGAGTAGTGGAGCTCCCGGTGTCAACACTAGCACCGGATCGACGAGTGGTGGTTCGGAAGTCGGTAATGGCACCGTGGGAACTAATGGAACCAATGGTGCCCAACAGGTGGTACCGACAGCGAATGGCACGGGGGTCAACGTGTCCAGTAATGGAACCAGTGTGGTCGTAGTTAATAGCACCAGCAACGTTGGGGCGCCCAATCTGGGCCCCATCGGACCGCCACCGACCGGGATGGTGATGTAAGAAGTTGATCCGATGATTTATGATTGTATATTGGGAAACGGGGACTGGCGGGAGTCCTCTAGGGTAGGTGAGAAAACTGAGAATGCGCGCTAGGTCAATAATATTCCAGGAATATGCTGCACACACAAAACAAACACACAGAACGCAAAAGATGCGCTTTCGCTATTGCACGGGAATGTGCCTTCGATCGCCGGAGGAAAAGCCAACGTGTGGCGTTTATTTTTTTGTAAAGTAATCATTTGTAAATATTTTCTTTCTTTTTACATTCGGAGATAATTCTCTATCGAATCATGTGTTAAGTAAAAAAAAAAGTTACAGAGTCGAACTGAGAAAGACTTTGAATTTAGGAACGGATGTACACAATCTTCCCCCCATCTCAGCTGTAAGTAATTCGTTTATAGACAGAAAACGGATCTCAGTCCCGGTCCCATTTATAAGTTATAGCACGCTCGCGTAAGACTAATCTGTTTCGGGGACAGTTTTCTTTCCCTTGTATGATTTTTTTTAAGAAATATCGTATTTTTGTTTTATATAAAAAAAAAATGAAGGATATATTCTTCTCCGCGATAGAAGCGCATTCCAAGAGATTAACTAACAATTGCGAAGCATCCTCATACAAGAAACAGATAAAAAAAAAAGATAGCCCTCATATTATGCCATAGAAAGCACTCGAGTATACAAACAGGATTTACTGCAATTTCGAACCAGAGATTATAGTGACAAGAAAATTTTAACCAAGTTTTTAACGGTCCAGGATCAAACAGTAGTAACACTCACACACATAATGGAATCCCATATTTTGCTGTTCGCCAACCCCAATAGTAGTAGGAATACCAAATCAGAAAGCGCCTCGAGCTTCTCGAATTCGATTGTTTTGAGACTCTCGATTGGAGAAAGAAGAAGAAAAAGTGTACGATTACGATGAAGGAAGCTCTCTTTGTGTAGTATTTTTGCAATATACATATAAATTATTGAGCAAGAGCAAAGAGACGCGCATCTTGGAGCAGCAGCAGCAGCAGAGTGCGGTATGCAGGAAAATATATACATATAAATAATACTATTTTAGGTGTATCTTGTATTGTAATCAAAGTCTTAACGCTATATTGTAGATTGATGAATTTGTAGTAGGAATAAAGATGAACCCAGAAAGCGATTTTTGGATGTGTAAATCACGTATAGATAGTAGTAGTTGACGGTAGCAGAACTCAAGGTTTAGGCCGCAGCAACAGCAACAAGAACATCATCAGCAGAGATTATTCAGCATTTCGATGAGAGGTATTAACCTTATTTTGTTGTCGCTCCTTGATTTAGGTGCCTCGCAGTATATGATTATTATATAATTTGCCAGAAGAAAACTTAGAAAATTTGATCCACCCTAACCGGAAGCGCTGCTCTGAAAGGAATTGTTTGATAACGATCGCTAATCATACACGAACACACACACACACACAAACAAACAAGACAGCATTTTCTTCTTCTTTTTTCGTTGAGCAGCGGAATTCGTGTCGTCTTATCTATTGGTGCTAGGTCGGCAAAGGGTGGCATGGCAAGCAGGGTTCATTTATCGTAATTTCTCATCTTGAAAAATAACCCTAGGTGGGAGCGCTCATATGCTTACTATCAGCATTGAATGTAGCAAGGGCGAGGAGATGTGGTGTGAAAATGCTAATTTCATGTGTAATTTTCTTCGCTCTCGCTTGGACATTTGTAGGCAAATTGCTTGAATAAGGAAAGGAAAAAAACTAGAGAGAGGTCGCTTACCTTTTGATCATCGGATGAAACGGGAGGAAATTTATATATTCAAATTTACCCTCTCATCCGGTTATAGGAAACATACATGAGAGGGCGACCAATTAGTGCTGAATAAATTCTGTTAGTAGCTGCGGGAAAGTTCGAGTTCCTCTTTTGAGAAGGCTTTCCAACTCCGGCGATGAGATACATTATTTCGCATCAGGAGGAAACCTTCCGCTTATATTAGTAGGCGCCAGTGATTAACAAGGATGTTTTAAAGAACTTGACTAAAATAAGAGAGTAACACAAAAAATCACCATTGTGTCAGACATAAACCGAAGCGAACGAAAATTTCGTTTTAAGAATTAAGAAAAACTGATATAATAGAATGAAAGTAAACGGAAAACGAGCATTTTAACATTTCTAAGCTGAACAAAACAGAGCAAGTCGCAAGGAAAGAAAATGTTAAAATCGAAGCAAAACAAAATAATGAGGCAACCAAGTATCAATTAGTTATTTTATTAATAGAAACAAGCTGGCATAGGGATCATTTTTTCGAAGAAAATAAACAAAAAATTGAATAAGTACACTGTGGTGGATCTACACCCACACAAACACACGGAACTTTATAGATGTGGCGCAAAAGTAAACCGAGTTTTAAGGGGAACTGTGCGAACCGAAAGAACCAATCGTTGTTACGAGTTTAAATGGTATCGCTTAACAAGACGCAAAGCCTTTGCAGTTTTTGTTTTCTGTTTTCGAAACCTTATTCGTTGGGTTATTTTTTGTGCGTGCGAGTAGTGTGCCCGATCCGGTTTCGAGCGCACTCTTCAGAGGGTGGCTTGAAACGTCGCCATCGGTACCAGCTACCCCGCACCGGTAATAATGCTCTCTGTCGTTTCCGTTTTCGGTTGCGATTTCGTAACCGATGGTTATATAAGTTAATGCGAAGTCTAATACAGCTAGAATTATTCGTAACCTAGAAGAAGAAAAACAAACACCTCTAAAATTAAATGGTCCTACACAAATCTGGTGAGGAAACAGGAGCTTGCTTTTTACGTTTCTCGTTTCTAACAGTGACACGGTGGAAACGGTTTAGAGAACACTGTTGTATGCCGCACATATGCGGTCTTAAATCGAATATCAAAACTATATTCAACTACCTACTACAGCTACAACTCCGAAACGATGCGTAGAAGTTTTGAGCAAACGTTCCTCAAAACAAACTCTAACTACTTATAGCATTTAAAATGAGTATCAGAACATAAGGAAATCTCTGTATTTCTTATAAAAACCAACTTCGAAAAGGAAAGATAAATGTAACGTTTGACAGTAAAATAAACAAAACATGATAGCATTTATTACGAGACACGTAAACGGTAAATGAAAAAAAAAACAATGTTTTCCTCTCCAATACACACACACATACATATATTCGAAGGTAGTGTTTAAATTTAAAAAAGGAAAAAAAAAATAAGAAAAACGATAAAAATGAAACTCATGTGAACTAGTACAGTCAAATAATAAGAAACTAACAAAGAACAAAGCAGTAAAAAACCTCTTAGCAGTACTTTAAATGAGGAAAATTTTCCCCGTTTTATGAAGGCATTAATTTCCTGTCAATTTTTCGTGTAATTGTAAGCTGTTATTACGTAAAACAAGACGATACAAAAAACGCATGAGAGAACACGCTAAAATAGAACGTCGCGGAAAAGCGATAATTATGAATCTGTTAAATGTGTAATAAATGTTTCACACAGACACACACGTAAATTCGCCTTCATCCACTCTCCCACACACATAAATACAAGCAACAAACAAACAAACAGAAGGAAATGAGAAAACTTTTGGCCTACTTTTTCGGTTGAATCTTGGATCTGGAACCGCGTCAACGGCAGCCTGCTTGTGTAGTCGTCGGGTGGCCGGATGGAAATTGAATGAACAAAATTAGGTGAATCCTGAAACATTACAAACACAAAAGCAAGTGTGGAGGCAAAAACATAAATAGCATCTATTTTCGACTATACTTAAAAAGAGCAGCATCATACAAGGATAGGAATTCCAGTTCAAGTTTTTTCTCCTAATGCGATTTTTTTCCGGGAGAATTTCCAACGGCCGGGTCAATTGACGGTGATTGTGCGGGGCAAACGAAGCGATTGTTCATTTTCGTTTGATGGTAGGAGCTCTTGGTTTTAAATCTGGATAGGCTAGAACTTTGTTAGTAGGTAGTTCGTTTCAATTCTTGGCTATGGGGCTACGCAGATTTGTATTTCAAATGAGCTTGGATGGTTATCAAATCACGCTATTTCTAAACTTCCCAAATCTGGGTAGAAGCAACCCAGATCTAGCGGCGCCGGTGGTGTAGTGGTAAGCGTGATTACCTCACCCCAGCAGGCCTGGGTTCAATCCCAGTCGGCGCCGCCGGGATGTTCTGAGGCATAACATCTCTGATCACGCCTTCCTTCGGAAGGGAAGTAAAGCCGTAGGTACCCGGTTCATGAGTTGATGGGTCGACATGTAGGGTCCAGGTGTGGGAGCTGCCTACCTGGCGTCGGTAGCATTGGTGCTCAGCACGGAAAACAAGATCGACGGAAAACAAACCAAGGAAAAAAAAACAACCCAGATCGGTCAAAACTGAACATACCCAAAAATGGGTAAACTGTGTTGGGAGTCAAGTTGACAAATGAACTACATCGACATGAATCCGATCAACTTTGTTCATTTGTCAACTTGTCACCCCTAACATAGTTTACCCATTTTTGGGTTGGTTTAGTTTCGGCCGATCTGGGTAGATTTTACCCAAATTTGGGTAGTTTTGAAATAGCGTGCTGGAAAATAAAATCAACTTAGGGGCTGTTCACTAACTACGTAGACAGTTTTTTTTTGTATTATTGACCCCCCCCCCCCTGCGTAGACAACTGTCCAAACAAAAACAAAATAATTTTGTATGGACCATGGATAATTGCCAATAACACCCCCCCCCCCGGGGGGGGGGGCCTCAACTGTCTACGTAGTTTATGGACGGCCTCTTAGCTGGAAAAGATCATTCCGATTTGACTGCGCGTTTGTTAAATGTTTTATTTTAAAATTCGAGTGGTAATTAAAAGCATTTTCGACTGCTTGAAGGAAGTGATCAATGGACTACTTTGTAAATCAGTTTTGGCGGTGTATGCAAATGAGTGCTCTGCTGTCAGTAACTCGTTTACTTGCCAATCATTCAGATTATCACGAGACAGTGAATGATGAGGCGGATGGCTGTGACCCAATTATTGCCGAGTTAAATTTAACTCATAGTTAAAAGTGACAGTTATCGAATAACCCTGCTAACCGAGCGTGGCTTCTTTTGACCGACGACAACTTCGATTTTGAGAAACGTTTCGACCTCTAATTGGAAATCAGGCATGGAAAATAACTGTTAAACCCGCCTGAAACTCAACTCGGCAAATAACCACTTCATTCGAGCAGTTCAAATGACGTTTACTACCACTCGAACTTCAACATAAAACAATATTTTGAGATTTTTTCTTCTAGAACAACTAGAAAAGTAGCGAAAATGTGTGCGTTTCATAAAACAATAGTAATTTGTTAGCCAGTTTTGTGAAGTCACTGGTAGAAAGTCACGCCAGAACTGCTTTACAAAATGGTCCAATCACAGCCCAAGTCAGAATTGCAGTATTTATCTACTCTCTCTGGTTTCTTGCCTGCGGCTGATACAAAACCGACATTTTTACTGGCAACACTGGATTTCCATTTGACGTGGAAAGCAGGTCTAAATACGATAATTTCACATTGAGGCCATATCTGGGCGTTGACTCTGTAAAACTCGTAAAATCCCATAAGCATCTGTCTGTATGTGCGTGAAATCTGGCGGACTTTGTCTTATTCTTTTACACTGAACGAATACATCTGCAATATTTCGAATGATTATTGCATTGCTCTAGCCCTTTAACAATATGGTTCCGAAATTCGGATGATTGCCTTACGGTTGAAATCATCAGCAGATGATGATCATCCATATGACTGTCATCCAAATAAAGGATGATATTGGCTGTAAAACATACAGCACTCAGAGGACAACAATTGAATAATAGGATGACTAACAAATTAGATGTATAATGCGATTTTTTACATTTCCATAATGAATAGCCATGAACAGCCATTCCATCATGGATACAACAATCATTTGTTGATAGAGCAAACTTCCTCCACCACGAAATAGACAATCTTCGGTTTCCACGCTTTACCAACTTTACTAATGTTCGTACCACCTCTGATAGCGATGACTATGTTTCCACCTCCATTGTCAGTTCAGATCAGTAAATGACGTTCGATAGAACGTTTTGGATGATTCACGTTATGGTGCTACACCAATATCATATGCATTTGGGATGACAATCATTCTACAGGGAGCATTACGTATTTAAACTGAGGTCCGTTTGCTTCTCGTATTAATGTTCATCCTGTATTCGAGAGGAACATCATCTGATTACAAAACAAACATCATTCGAAAAAGGATGATGTACAGTACAGTGTACTCCACCGAAAAATTCCGCATGAAACCACCGACAAACCGACATGAATGACCATAGCAAAAACAATAAAATTTCTGACCAAAGCACACTACTGACATCTGGCTCCGTGTTCGCGGGAAATATTTAGCTAAGCCATGAACCCGCATGCAAAAGTTATGAAGTGGTGTCGTGTCTGATCTATTCTGGACAAATTATTGTTATCTAGATCAAAAAATCCTATGGTTCTGACAGTTCGTATCACTGCACTTTTAAATCGGCCGTTTACGATTTTCGGGCATAAGTCAGAATTAAGTGTTATGTCCGTTTGTCGGTGAAGAAACTGTCAATTTTTGCGTGAAGGGACAAAGGCTCGACGGTGCTGTCAGCGTCAATTATGTGTCTTCAGACCCTCTTCACTCTTTGAAATTTATAGAGACAGATAACAGCGCCAAAAGGTTTGTGACGAGACAACGTTGAACTCCAGCGTTGGAAGAAAACACGCACACCAACATCTATGCATGCATGCACCCACACCACTGGACGAAAGGTACAGCTCATGTCAAAACACGAAGCGTTGTCATCACTCATCGTCATCACTCGGCGGCTTCCGATTGCGCTGACAAATACCTTCCTACGTTATAAAATAGGAAAGTAATCATTATTCCAACGTAATTTTTGAATAGAATACGTGCTGCGTTGGTCAAGGAAGACGTCATATTGTATTACGTTTGTTTAGCAATGGCTTCCATTATAGATACTATAGATTCCATAGATAAGCGGAGGAAAAGTATAATGTAGCCAAACGAACTGTCAGTTAGTGTAGCCAAACGAGCATTACGTCATCATGGTGTTGTTTGAGGGAGAAGTATTGTAATATTATGAGCACAAGCGACACTCCACATTCCGATTTATTTCGCGGACAACGGCAGAAGGAAAGATAAAGCAAACCATTCCTCGATACATTGTTGTAAAGATTTGCTTTGCACTTCATTTTGAAATTTTACTTGCTAGAACAATTTTTTGTGCCTCCGCCTATCTATGGAATCTATAGTATCTATAGTTTCCATACGTTGCATTTCCTGTGGCGTTGGAATAATTCTTTATGGAGAAGGAATGTTTTTTCCATGCTCTATGCTTATAAAGATTATTTTGAGTCACAGCTTCGTTAATCAACAATTACTATTAGAGATTTTCACCATACTGATACCGTTGATATTGAAAACTTTTTCACTCGAAAGCAAAACATATTATCAGCCCATAATGATGCGACCTTGGATGTGTGATTGTTTTCTCAAGTGTTTCTGTTGCGTATAAAGGGGTAGTGATTGAAAATCGGAGCAATCACAATACAGTGAGAATCTTGCTATTGCAACATACTGATGATGATGTCGAGAATGATACCGCCCTCTTCCCTCGGCTGATCATCAACGTCCGCACTGGCATCTGTCATCCAGACACCTGTCAGTTATTGAGCCCTGGTGGTGAAG